CCACTCCAGCCATGGGGTTATGATTCGGGTTATGGTACCAGGCATGTGTTGCCTCCTTGAGGATCAAGCTTCACATTGAAGCAGACATCACTTAGTTACCCCGTAACAGGCACATCATTATTGCACTGCTGGGCACATCTGGCTTGGCAGGTCTGTATTGTAGCATATAGAACCAATGCAGGAAAAGAGTGTCATATGCAAAATCAGACACTGAAAAATGAAAAGCATAGCTGTAAGAAATTGCAGACAAAGGTGAACTGAGAAAAGAGGTAAAGTTCAGATTCCTCTGGTGGTTGTCTGCCCTGCCCCACTTGACAGAGCCCTTTCTATTTTTCCCAAAGAGCAGATCTTCCTCAACACAAATATTCAGCTGATTCAAAAAGTCACAAGCATTCCCTCTCCCTCTCTCAGTGTCTCTCTGCCTCTCTGTATCTCTTTGTCTCTCTATCTCTCTATTTTTATCACTCTGTCTCTGTCTCTTTGTCTCTGTCTCTCTGACTCTGTATCTCTGTCTCTCTCACACACACAAACACACACACACACAAAAACAGGTACCTATGTCTCATACTTCATTGGTGTTATTATTAATGATATCATACAACCTTGATTCATACCTTCAGTTGATTTCAGCCAATAAATTGTTGTATTGATGGGAATCTTTCTTTCCAACACCAAATAATATACCATTCCTTCCATGTGTCTCTGTCATCATATCTTTCTGTTTTCCTAGTACACATCACCATGAGGAAGGTACTGACTTGTATGCTTGTTGAAAATGACTCCCCACTAACACACAGATTTTGTGGTTATTTGTTGTTGGATCCAGGCATTAGATCTTGTCACTGGAGTGGAACAATTAGAGTATAACAAATAACAAGTATCCAGCCTCAGTAGGAAGGTTCAAGCCTTTAATTACAGAACTCTTGGAGTGGAGAGAAGTTTATCAATAATTCAAGGCCATCCTTGTTTATGTAGCAAGACTGAGGCCAGGATTGTTGACACACCCTTTGTAATCATTGCCCAAAATAAATATCTTTTTACTAGTTTCATGACAAAACCACTGTTAATTATCATCTAGACATATGTCATAAGCTTATTACTTGTATCTTCACTAACATGCTTTTGCATCTGTTGTTTGTTTTGAGACAGAGTCTAGGTGAGTTCAGGCTGGGACACATTCACTGAGCATCTGAAAAAGACATTGAACTCCAGAACTTCTCTTGTCTTTACCTCCTGAGTGTTGGCATTACAGATCTGTGCCACCACATCTGGCTTGCATTTGGCTTTTCTTATGATGTACATATGTATATGGGTTTATGATGACATGAATGCCTATGTGTGAATGTGAGCATTCTTTTTCTAAGGTTTGAGTGTTGAAGTCAGAAGACAACATCAGGTGTTGCTATCTACCTTGTTTGAATCAAGGTCTCTTATTTCTTGTTCATCTTGTGTGTGCCAGATTAGCTGTTTCCAACCTTCAGGGAAATCTTCTGTCTCCACTCCCATCTCAGGGAAGGAACATCAGTGTGACAAACAGAAGCTGTACCACCATCT